TCCAGAGTATGAGGCTATTGCTTTTCCTTGGGCTGATGCCACACAAAAGGGAGTGCTCAACCCAATCAAGGTGGCATCTGAGTTAATAGAGAATGACTCAGCACAGGAACCCTGGTGGCAGTCCCTGAACTCTCTCCCTAGAAACACTACCACAAACTCTCCTCAATGATTCTAGTCCACACTGCCCTCCTTCCACCAAAGCCCATGGTGAGTGGCTACAAATGACATGTTGTACATTGGCTCTTTAAGAAGGTACAGGAGTCTCTAGTGGACTCCTACCTTTCCCAGGCAAAAAAAAAAAAAAAAAAAAAAAACCCTGCTGCTTTTCACAGGCAGATGTTATTGGGGTGCCACTTGCTATCCCTGCTGCTCTTGGCTGGACACCTCAGCTTGAAGTTTAGACCCCATGCTTCTCAAGGAAAATCCCCTGCAATTTGAGATAGCCCTCCAGAATCTCAGCTGCTGCCATGGGAGGGAGTGGAACGAACTCTTTTCACATCTCTGCCCTTCCTACCAGTCTTGATGTGGCTTCTTTGTAAATCCTGGGTAAAAAAGACTTCTCTTCATCTAATCTTCAGTTGGTTATAAAGGATGGTTTTTCTATAATGTAGGTGTAATTCCAGTTTGGTCCTGGGAGGATGTGAGTGTGTAGCTTCTACTTACTCTGTCAGCATCTTTGATCTTAAAGAAATAATTTTGAAACATAATCTTATATGTGTAGAGTTTGGTGTATAATAGACTAAGTTTTCATAAGAGATTAAGAGTGTATAACCACTCCTTTAACCACTTCCTTTTCCCTGTTTGGGTAATACTGAATCAACTTTATAGGACAGTTTCTCTCAGGTCAACGAATTCTAATTTACTTCAAAATATTTTATATCCTAAAAGTATGTAGCCCACAAATATATATACACAAACTCAGCCAGGTTCTATTGAACAATTTATTCTAATATTTCTCTGACGTCTCCTGGTTCCGTTACCTAGAATATCTACTCAACCTCCTCCAGGATCCTATTTCCTGCAAGTTCTTAGAAGCCTAAAGTTAACCCCTAATGTCATTCCACGCCAACAGGCAAGTGACAAGAACATAAATGATTTAAGACCCCCCATTAGTGGTGCCCGATTTATTATTTCATTCGATAAATACTTATTGAGTTACCTATTTGTAAAGTGCCTGGCTATCAGCACGGCTCTGGATGAAAACACAGAAGGGAACAAAGGAACAAAAACATTGCCCTCATGGTTCTTACATCATAGTTAGAAATGGCAAACCAGAAGTAACAAAATACTACATGTAACTCAAGTGATGATAAGTGCTCTAAAGAAGTAAAAGGCTGACAGGACAAGGACCCAGACAATCTTGTAAATAGGAGAGTCCAAAACATCTTCTCTGACATTCAAGGCAACATAAATTAAGTATGGGAATGAGCATGGATAAACAAAATCTAAAGTAGAAAAGTAGCAAGAAATTCAATGAATATATATATATATATATATATATATATATATATATATATATATTTCCCAGGCTTGGGGAATTTCAAGCTGCATAGAGAAGAAAGTAGGAAGTGGATGGAAAGGAAATAAGTCACAGAGAAATGGATGTACAGATTATTAAAGCTCAATAGGTCAAGTTTACATTTTGGTTTGAGATGGAGGCCATTGGAAGAGGCCAATGGTCTTTGTTTATATTTTAGAAGGAAGCAAGGGTTGAAGCAATGATACCTTCATGAACTTGACCTTACAGAAACCTCTAGACCCTTGACCTTTCCATATACTATTATTTTCTCTGTTCATTTTAAATTTTATTTCATTTTTTCAATCTAAGATTTCATGTTTATTACTTTTTGCCTACTTTCAATAAATCAAATGACTTCTCTGAAACTCTGGGTTTAGGTAACCCTACTCGTTAAAGGCTCACTCTTGACAGATTCTTAAACTTACTTATCCTGTTTTCTTACCTAAGAAACTCAATCCTTAGGAAAAAATTCATTTATGCTTTCGTGGACTACATGGACTACAATACTGCTTAAATATTTTCCTTGTTTTTGGTCATACACCTTTAATCATTTTCCTTCCATGAACCACCCAAAAATAGAATTAATTTCTTACACATCTATATCATCAAACTCATTAATCAATTACAGAAAACAGTCACCTATTTTGTAGAGAAAATTGCATCCGTTTGGCATGACTGACTTCAAATTCCCACCCTCACTATTTCGTAAATTGGTTTGTGTCTGATCAGATTTGTAATATTCTCACTCCTGTCATGAAAGTTCAGGTGATGCCTCATTTCTAAGGATGTTTTGTCATTGTGCTTTGGTTTTCATTTTCTGCATGACCTTGAGTAAATTTTTAAAAATTAGAATACTCTTCCTAATGAAGATTATGATGGACCATGTAAAAAGAATACTTAAATTTATATTTGAACTACCTCTATCTGCAATGTTATGTACATACCTTCTTATCTAATCCAGTCCAACTTTATTATATCTATTCTAGATAAGAAAATTGTAGTTTAAGGAGCTTAAGCAATCTTCATGGTCACTCTAAAATTTGTTCATGAACATTAACCTTCCTTTCTGATATTTCACACTCTGGGCTCGCATAATTCATTAAAGCCTGTAAATTTTTCTGTCTTCCTGCTGTTCTTTCCTTTCTGGGAGATTCTCAGGACTACTCTATTTTTCTCCATATTACTTTCTTGCTCTGTCTTTCACCTGGTTCTCTTCTGACTCTACAGGAATATAATACAAACTGGTTTTTTTAGTTAAATAAATAAACCTCATGGATTACATCACAGACCATAGAGCATGGTTTCTTTGTAGAAGTAAAAGAGGAAGAGCAGAAAAGGAAGGGAAAGAAGAGAAAGAAAAACAAGAGGGAAGAGGAGGAGGAGATAAGAAATCCAGTATAAATGTCATCATAAATACCCGTTTAGAGATTTCATCTTTATGCCACCAATTTAATACCACGTCTGTGATGTACCAGTCACTCTTTATTGATTGTTTCCTTGAATGAAAGACCCTGGCATTTTCATACAGTGTGGTGTTTGGTTATAGAGGATATGATACCTGTTTTACTTAAGTATATAATAACAGGACAAGTTCTGGTCCATCAATATTCTAAATCGACCTATTCCTGGAGAATAAAGCCATGAGAAACATACAAAGGTACTCCTATGTATGGTACTGCACTGTTCTTGATTCCTTCTGTCACACATAATCCCCACACTTCCTATCATTTTGAAGCAGAGAATTATGTGTGGAAAAATGCCTACACTATCGCGTCCCTACCTGAAATATGGATACGTTAAATTAAATGTAGGTTTAAATTCTATATATTATCATTTGCCAATTTTTATCACCTGGCAGGTTCTTTTTCGTTTTTCTTTTTCTCTGATGTTGTTGTTTGGTAGCATCTTAGAATCACTAATTCACATTTTGTTCAGTAGGCTGTGAATATCATAGATCTGTCAGAATCTATGATATTCATAGCCATTTAACATGGCTAAAGAGGAATCACTGAAGAAATAAATTAGTGAAGAAAGAAGGTGCATGCAGAAAGTAAGGAAGAGTGGTAAAAAGAGGAAAGAATGAAGAAATTTATTTGACGTTTCCAAGATGAATACAGCAGGAATTACTTTGAAAAAAAAATCAGACTTATTTCAATATTTACTGACCCTTGTATAACTTTTTTCCATTAAAACTGTACTAGAAATTGGATTTATTTTGCACTGAGAATCAACTAAATAGCCAAAAGGCATAGAAATAAATGAAAAAGAATCTGAATGATTTCATTGAATTGGAGTTTATTGGCTGTAATACAAAATTATAAAGTTTTGTTTTCCATCCAGAGAATAACAATAATTTCTAATGCATTTGTTCAAACGTGGTGTAGAAGATAGACCAATAAATATTTCCTTAAAACCCCTGATATAAAATTATACCTTAAGTTCTATTTAAACGTTCAGGCTTATGGAAACATAATGTACTCATGAGTTGATTATGTGGTTTTTCAAAATTTATGGTTCACAAAGAATCACCTAGAGAGGGTGATAACATTAGATTCTTACTACACCTCCTAGAGTCTTATTCATATGCCTGGAAAGAGGGCCTATGGTTTTGCATTTCTAACAAGATGTCAGGTGATGCTCATTCTGATGGTCACATGTACCACATTTTGAGGAACAATAGACTAGCACACAAAATATGCCTAAACTTTAAAAATGTTTTTTGTGTGTACTGAGCTCTGAGTATATTATTTTATCCAACCAAGAAGTGCATTTTGTACAATTTGCCTAGGGACTCAGTGGCACTAATCTTTCCTCCTGTCTAGGGTAATCATGTTAACACATGGCTTCCAGTGAGAAACAGGAACCCCTAAAGATTCAAAGGAAATAATGTCAATAACCAAACATATGCATCAAGTTCTTACTTAAGATATAGATTGCTGAGCTTCTGTGGCCATTGGACTTTAAAAATAAGAACTGTTTTATTATGAAATAGTTAATTACTGTATTTTGACAAACATTTGAATATGCTTTAAGACTTAAAATACACTAAAGTCAGTAGAATAAGGGTACATTGTAATAACTTTTAGGAGACACACTCAATACAAATGGCTTCAATTTTGTTATGTCAGTTGTCACCACATATTTGAGATCCAGACAAATTTTGGTAAGATGGTATCATTTTGGGTATGGAGTTTTCCCTTCTTGGACGGGCATTTGTTGAAATAGGGCAGATGGTGTTCCACACACACTTTTACCATTCCAATTCATTTCTACCCTTACTGTAGCATACTTTTTTCTTTGTCCTATTCATGCATACCTAGACAAACACTGGGATTAACAAGTGAAGTGTATATATTTTTCTGGTGACTCCACTTCACAATCACTTATTGTGAAGTGGAAGTTTATTCTTCATATCTGGCAAGACAGATTTGGGACATTATGTTTAGCTCAATAATATAATCTCATCATTGACATAATTTAGAAAAACAAATGTAGGATGTCAGTGTATAAATACATCAGTCCTCTAGAAAAGCACACCATCTCCGGGCTTCGCAATTTCAGCTTCTCGAACTTTCCGTCTCATCTTGGACAAAGGTAATGTATTCACAGACAATCTAATATATCTTTGTCTCATTTTTATTTGCTAGAGTGAGTTGTAAATTATTTTTTAAATGTATCTAATTTATTGACAACTTTCCATAAAGAAATTCTGAAAGAAGTGGTGATCCTATGTTAGGATCTGAAGGTGAGGCCAGGATCCCAGTGCCTCTGAGTTGACAGCAATGCTGTACCAAACGAATGATGAGGAACAAGGCGGAGATGAGCTCCATGGGCTCTGTTGGTGACATAACCTAGAAGTCCTTTTATTTTCTTGGCTAAATATAAAATATTCTCCCATGTGATAATTTGTTTTACCGTTAAAGTTCAAGGTTATATTGTATAAGAAAATGATCTTTAAATATAGCATAAGCTCTCTTTTTGCAACTCTGTGTATTATTTTAAAGGTTAATTAACCTTCATCAAAGTTACTGCAGTACCATCACTAACTCGGTTTTATATTACCTTGTCATCATCCTTTTTTCATTCAAATAGTTTCTGATTTTCTGTATTATTAGCACTGTATGTCAGACTTTTATTAATGTATTTCATTTAATCTATATTCAGTTCATTTGTGATTTGGTTCAAAACAAGTTGTTGTACTATGTGAAACTTCAACATTGTGTTCTTTGGATAATATTCTTTCAAAGACCCTAATTATCCATCTGGATATCTGTCTATCCATAGAAGACCAGTTTCTGTGAATTATCCTTAATCCTCTACTTTCAATAAAATTGAGGTATGAACATTAAAAACTGCATTATTGGTAGCATAACATAAATGAATGTTTGGTTAAGCAGTAGATGATTTTTAAAATGTTATCAAGAAATATATGATTTCCTCAGTTTGTCCAATGACAAAGTCCTGAGTTTCAACCAATGATGCAAAATCATTAGGTAAGGAACACCAGAAATACCATCAGTCACAAACTGTGCTTTGTATTTTAAAGTTTCAAGTTATTATATAGGAATACAGGCTTAAATTTATCATTAGGAAAAAAAAAACTGATGTTACTCTTGTTCTATCAAAACGATGGCCAAAATGATTAGGAAGGAAAAAGCTTTTATCATTATTTACCTTATACTTTGCAAATTGTTTTTATTTAGAAGTCTATAACTAAGAAATAAATAATCTGCTTTACTTCTTATAGAACAACAAGAGTACTGAGTTCATTGTATAAACTGAATTACAAATATATATACCAAAGAGTCCCTGATTTGGATAATTTCATTGACTAGGGTGATTTGGAGATTAAATTATTTTTACCAAATTCAATTTATCAATGTATCTACAAATATTTTCCCTGAAACTTCTTAAAATTTCATTTTACTCTACCCATTATCTTTCATTTTCTAATACTAGTGGTACACCAACTCCAGAGTCTTCAAGTCAGAACCTGACTTACTTTCTCAAAATCTATCATAAAACCTGTCTGTTTCTTGTAATTTTACCTTCCAAATACTTTTTTAATCTCTGCCTTAAGCATTATTCCATATGTTATTATGTAACGTCCCTAAAATTTTACAACAATCGAAATGGTCAGCCTGTCCTCACTATTGTTCTTCTCACCTGATGAACTATTTCATTTCCTACATACTATCCTCTTTCTCATTTTTATTTCTTTGCAGGTTCCCTAAACCTCTTTACTTGCTCTATGTAATGTTATACAAGCTTTACCTTTTTTCTTTACTTTAATGTTTCTACCTTATCTTGATCTGTTTAGAATGTCCTGTTTTTATGTCTTCGTGATATATTAATATTTCTATACCACAACAATGTCCCATACTTGTTTCTAAGTTCCATGGTGTCACACAACGTGTTTTAACATTCTGTACTTCTAGCCTGTTTCACAAAGCTGTGGGTCATAGTTTGATCAATAAATGATCTGAAAGCAGAGGGATGAATATATTACTGATTTATCACATATGCTTTTACAGGACTCGGCCAAATATGAAGATCCTTGCCTTGGCCTTTATCATGGCTCTCATGTTTGCCATGATTGTAAGTATACCAGAAAATTTTGAAGAATATGTTCTTAGTAATTATTCAGAGAATGTCTCTTCTTTCTTGTGCGCAGTACACATTGCCTGAGCACAGCTTTGTCAATTCTAAAGTTTTGAATGAAAATTTTCCTGAATTAAGTTACATCAGTACAGTAAGGACTTAAAATTAATCTTTGGTACACACATAGTGACTCTAAGCACACATAGGAGTGCAAGAGTGAAAACAATAAAAATCTAAAAATAGAGAAAACCATAATTATAACACCAGACTCCTGGAAAATCTATATTTAAACAGACATAGCTTAAACCATAACTATCTAAAAACATTGGTTTTGAGCTAACCCAAATTTTAAATTTTTAATTTCACTCTGCTAGTCACAAGAATAGATTTTATTTTAATCACACACAAAAGAAATTTGGACTAAAGTAAATTCCTATTGGAATGTAGCAAATTAGCTATAGCCAAAGCCTAGCCCTCATTCATGTTAAAGGTGTCATTAAACATAAAAAAATCTAGCTGAGTATATGTGTATCAGTTACCTAAGACTTTGCCTTCATTTGTTAATCATAATAGGGGCAGCTAAGCACATTTTGACACTCAGCCTGGAATGATAATTGAGATGTTCACTCTTTTCTTCTTTTTCTTTTTCAAGGGAGCTGATTCTTCATCTGAAGAGGTAAGGCACTTTCATCTTCTAGGAAACTTGATAATTAAACATGGTTAACAATTTTAATTTTTTTCTTTATTTTAACAGAAACATCATTACTATAGAGACAGATACTATGTAAGTATTACTCAGATAATGGGGTATAATGAAACACATTTTCTTCTCTGAGTATTTGTTCTATTATAAAAATCAATATTTATCTCTGAAACATGTCTTTATGGTGAATGGTTGAAGTATATACTTAGTTTTATGATATACTGGTAAATGACCCACAGGTTGTATACTGGTAGGATTTAGAGAGAGACATATAAAGTTACCCTGAAGAAGCCAGTTAATTTCACAAAATGTAATATCTTCGGTAAATACTTGCCTTGGCCTGAAGAATAATTAAAATTCTAAATCTCTAAAATATAACACATGCCTAAGGGAGCAGAGAGGCTCCAAAAGCACCATGGTATGGTAAGTTTTCACCTATTTGATGCTTGTGGAGAATGACGAAGTCATTAGGAAAAGTTAAATTGATTTTGTTAAATAAGATGTAAATTTTGATTTATCTAGCATTTTAAAAATAAAATATATTTTCAACACCATATTATTTTCACATACCAATCAATATAAGTTCTCAAAAATTCTACTAATATACTAGGTATATATGAATTTTAACAAGGCACTAAATTAAAAGATGAAGAAGGAGGGATAGGATATTGAAAATAACAGGAGTGAATATTAAAGAAAGTAGGAATTTTAAGACAGTAAGGTCATTATAGGCCAAGAATGAGAAGTAGCAATTCCACCAAACCTGAAATTAACAAATTCCTTCTCCCTGGAAAATTCAAGCCTGGGCAAAATAGGAGCTGGGAGGTAATGTTTTAAGGATTATTTCCAACTTGTGTGAGTAGTTGTCTATAATCAGTGGATCCACCTGTATTATAAAACAACAGAATTTGTCAACAAAAGTATAGCTGGAAATGGTTTCCTATTTTTCTCTTCCTTTAACCACTGTTTCTGAAAAAAAAGTGAAAACCTAAGTAAAAACTTGAAAAATCAAACATGTAGATGATCTATGAGTTTCTACCAACTTTAAAACTCAGATTCTAATTGGAATTACTGTGAAATATTTACACTGTCATTGTCTCAATTCTCTGTCATTGTTTTTTCAGGGAGGGGGAGGGGCTTACCCTTATCCCTATCAACCATATCCACAGCCCTATCCATACCCTTATCCATATGGAAGATAGTAACCACAGGACAGATTATAGAGGTAAGCTGCAACTAGTGACATTTAAAAAATATTTTTGTCTTCTTATTTTTATTTATTGTTACTTTTTAAATCCTCACCAGAGGACTTGTTTTTATTGATTTTAGAGGGAGAGGGAGAATGGGGGTGGGGGGAGAGAGAGAGAGTGAAATACTAATTTGCAACAGAGAAACATAATATGGTTGCCTTTCATAAGTGTCCAGACCAGGGATCTAACCTGCAACCTAGGTATGTCCGCGGACAGGAAATGGAACCTGTAACCATTTTGGCATAAGGGACAATGCTCCACCAACTGGGCCACCCGGCAGGGTCTTAGTGACATGTTTTGTTCTCCAGAAATTTCAGTGGTGAGAGTTAAAACAAGAATAAATAAATTCAAGCCATCAAACCAAAAACACACCAGTTAAAGCAACATAGCCAGGTGTAGCTCTCCTAAAGTGCATTTATTCGTCTAAAACCTTTTGAAAGAAAACATCCGTCTTAGCATGGTTAGAGGTGGGATTTTGAAATGGGAACTCTGGTGTGTGTTTGTTTGTTTAATCCTGGTTCAACAACTCCCAGTTTCATGACCTTAAATTATTCCTAATCTTTCTAAATCCTAAACTATTCTTAATCCAAAAAAAAAAAAAAAAAAAAACACTGCTTTTTTCTCATGGACAAGCTGGCATTCAAATATGTGACCACTTCGTAAAATTGGTGAGACTATGGACAGGCACATTCCATCGATGCCTGGGATTAGACTTGTGTATATTATTGTGACTCCATGATGCCTTGCCACTAAACCTGTGCCTGAATATCTTTCTAGAATGTAACCTTTGGAGCAGCAGCACAAATGCCATCTGCGAACTCATCAGAAACTTAAAGTCTGAGGCCCCACCCAGAGCTATTCAATCAGAATCTATATTTTAATAAGGCCCCTATTTGATTCAGACCAAAACAGAGTTTGAGACACTTTGCCTTGGTGCTGTGGTGAGCATAGGGATAGGGACACTGCTCCACTCTAATTCCAACAAGAAGAGAAGGAAATATTACCAATGATTCTTAAAAAGTCACTTTCATCTCAAACAACATTAAGTATGTGTTACAAACTCAGGAAAGATTAAATATCACTACAAAATAAAGCAGTTCTATAATTCAAAGTTGAAACACTTCTAACAGGTCTCAATTACTTTTAAATGCACGTGGATAATTTATTCAAATTGAATTCACATTATTGACAGGGCGAAGAGTCTGAACGTACTCCCTAGGCATTAAGTAATAGCTTTATATAATTGATCAAGAAAGAATGTATTACAAGTATTATTTGGGACATACAAATATGGATGAAATGTGCGTGCTGTATTTAATGAAAGGGGCCAGGGACCTGAGACAGGGTCATGACAGAAAGACTTAAAAGTCATACGAGAAAGAAGACTATGAAAAGCAATCAACAAATCTGATGATGGATGGAATGAAAGATGGAAGCAGGGAAGAGGAAGAAAAAGAAATGGATGCAAGTTCTCAGGACTAGACTAGCACATAAGAGTGCTTAGCAAATAAGCCTCTCAGAAAAGAACCAATGTCCTCCTGTTGTCTATCCGTTTGTTGGGGTCGTAGGGGTTATTTTGTTTAGTTTTGTTTTTCAGGGAGTTTTGCTCCGTCCTATGTTTTGCTGGGTTTATATTAGGATATGTTTAAAAATGTTAGTTTTGAAGGTGAATAACATTCAAATTCAAAAGCCCAGTGAGCTACCAGGAAGAATTGTATCTCATGTGAGAAGTGGCCAATTAGGAAAAAAAAGATAGAAGTTTATGCAACAGGTTTTTTATTATTTATTCAATATTTCTTAAGATCTTAATGTGTGTAAAAGAAAAAGTCACAGCTTGGTATACAATTACTTTGGTGATGAGACAAAGGCATGGAAATTAGGAGCTCTTTAAATGACTGGAAAGAAGCAATTGGAAATAAATGCGGTTACTGGTTATATTATTTTAGGAAATAGGCGTCCATCTGGAATATGTATTCATTCAGTTACCAGATAGTTCTGGACCTCATTGTGAGCATGCAGTGAGATAGCACTGGATTATAAATACCATAGAGCCAGAATCTCTGCAGTAGAGCTGACTCCCTAGTTATAAAGGCAGATATCAAAGCTGGCCATCATCAGTCAGAATATCATTTGACAAAACAGTGATGTGACTGGATGTGTTCTTGAAACCTATGACAAAGGCAGGAGTCTGGCCAGTGGGTGAGGGGAACACTGACAACTCATAAAGAAGTTCATTGGAAACTATCACAGTTATTTAAGATGAAAAATAAGAGCTTATGCTAAGAAGTAAGAGAGGTACCAGCAATTCATTCCAAAGTGAATCTGATTAGATGACTACTTTAGATAATTTTAGTTAAGCTTTTTCATGTGAATGATTTTAACCAAGGCATGGTTTGGGTCCAGGATCTTTTGTCATGTCAAGGAAACCCTTATACTAACACAGACAAAGAAAGACTTTATTCAGAAAAAAAGACAATGGCCATGGGGAGAATGCTCAAATCTCAGAAATCTCAAAACTTCTCGGAATCTAACAGGAAAAACCTTTTTAAAAAGGGCACACAGAGGTAGGCAAAGATTAGCACCAGCTTTTAAAGGAAAGGTGGGCAGGCATGTAGAAATGACCAGTAGGGCATAGTGTCCACTGTGGTTAATCAATTCTCAGGATAAGCTGATAGAGTGGGCATGTTCCACTTTGTAATTCATGTTCAAGCTTCAGAACAAGCAGAACTGAGAGTCACAGAACAGTCTGACTATCATCTGGTAGAGACCAAGTAAAGGATAACAAACAGGCAATTGTGAAAACTTGGTCAGACCCAAAGAAATAGATATGGGTAAAATTCAAAAACAGGAAAGCCTAACGATATTAGCAATGACTTAGTGTGTAGTTTAATGAAAGGAATGTTTTCCTTCTCTCCACAGGCTTGGACAGAAGTCTTCTTTGCTCTCTACTCATGATGATTCTCCTTACTTAAAAATGACTTCTCCATCCAGCAACATATTATCAGCCCACATACAATAAATGCATCCAAAGTGCTTTTGAAAGCATATTTTATAAAATAATCAAAAAGTAGAACATTATTTGTATTTTCTCATGTATCAGATTGGAACTTAAAAAAAATTTGACCCATAAATAATGTTTCTGTATACAAATTCCAGCTGTCAAAAAGAAGTCAATCAGATTGTGATAGATGAACAACACACACCTGAGATCAATGATCAATAGTTTAACACAGTAGTAATGACATTCTCTTCACTATTTGTTTTCTATTTTTGTTCTCTGTATTGACGTATCTTAAAATTTAAAAAAAAAAATCTTTCCTGGCACAATAAATCGCTCTATGAAGCATATACCAGATATACCATGGTTTTAATTTCCTATAATTGATGAAACAAAGTACGAAACTTAATGACAAAGAAAGAACAGCAGAGCCATGCTCTTGGTGATAGGTCCAGGGTGCAATTTGACTTTGCTTTCTCTTTTTCTCCAGCATATTGGCCATTCTTAACAATTCTTGGTTTACAAATTCATCACTGCAATCTTTGTTGTCACAAAGCCATCTCCCTCTTTGTCTCTTCTTATAAAAACACCAGTCATATTTAATTAAGGACATTCACCTTACTCCTGGAAAACCAGGTCTTAACTAATTACATCTGCAATTACTCATATTTCCAAGTGAGATCACATTCTGAGGTACAGAGAGTTAGGACATATCTTTGCATTAGAACACAATTGAGTGCATGGCACCCATGTTTCTCTTGATTCTCATTAACATTTTTTGAATTGATTACATGCCAACACAATATTCTTTAGTATTTCAATATTTTTCAAGGAAAGACATACAATGTTATTTTATCATCTTCTAGATAATGATTATAGAAGAAAACAAGTTATGACATTGCTGGATGACTATTCAAAGGGCAAGATAATCATCTTGGCAATCTCATTTTAATTGTGAAATAGTCTGTATTAAATAAATTCCTATCCATGTAGTGTACACAAAAATCACTAGAATACATTGTCTTTAATCATAACAAAAACGAATTTCCTTTTAGCAGGTGGCTAGAAAAATAGCTCAGCTATATTATGGTTTTAAATATTGGTAGCTAAAATCCACTAATTACAATGTAGTACAATTTTTATGAGATTGAAACATTCATTACTGAAAAATCATGGACAGAGGGCTTCTCTTCCTCAGTAGAGCTGTCAAAACTAAAGGCAATCTCCATCCTACATGGGTAGCACAAAACAAAGAGAGTAACTTTGGAACCAAAGAAACTGAAAGGGAACAGCAGGAGAGTAGTAAGGCTCTGACCCTGAGGCAAGAATCTGAGAGTTATGAAAGTCTGGTAGAATTGCTGGAGGTTGAAATCATGTTCTTTCCTGGGATCACAAGGAAATCTTTCCATGGGCCCACACACAGGAGATTTTGGAGTGGCAAGATTTACTCAGATGAATATAAATGGCTGGCTCTGGGTTTTTAATATCCCTTCTCTGCTTGCTCCTCCATAGAAAAAGTCCAACTGTGTGTCTTCAGCAACACTAAAAAAAAGAAAGGCCACTGTCTAGAGTTTCTGTTTCATATTAAAGCTTAGTCTTTTGGAACCCATAGGAGGCTGCTAATAGTCTCAGTCCCCATCCAGGTAGCTTAGGTCTGTTCCCAGCTCTGCTGTTGCACCCAGGCTTCTGCTTGAAGCCTGTGTTTGGAGTTCACAGAGCTGCTATGCCTGCTATGCAGAGAACATGTGAGTAAATGGGGCACATGTGTTTCACTGAAGGAGAAAGAGCTTCTATGTTAAGGTTGGTTATATTATATCAGGCTTGGGAGACAGGATGCTTTTTCAGATAACTAATCAACTTCCAAAGCTTTGTGGGCTTCTAAAGGGTCCACTTCCCTAGCAATTCCTTCTTTCCCCAGGCTAGACTCACAGGCCTCTTTGGTCTCCATTTGGGCTCTTTTTGTGCATGTCAACGAAGCACCTTACCTGCACCATTTTTATTTCTACTGCTCTAGTGCTTATTCCACCCATAGTCTAGGGGAGTGGAATCAGCAGATTCTAAAGACTGGCCTTCCTCCAAGTAGACAGGCTGGGGAGGGGGGGGTTGTTAATCTCTTTTGCAGGACAATGCTGTGATCCTCTGAAGTATGCGTAGCTGTAGCTCCTGGCTAAGCAAGCAGGCTTATGCTCACTGGTTGACTATACTCAACAAGGTCTAATTCCCTTTGCATCTTTACTTTATTAGGGACTAGCTAACTATGCGTAGTAGTAGAATTATGATTTATACATCCTGTGTGCTTTCTCCTGAATTTCTTTTAGACCCTCTGGTTTATACATTTTGGCTGACATGTAAAAGAAGGCTGAAATTGAACAAATAAAACATGAAACTTTGTTGTGCCTCTCCTCCAGTTTCAGTTAATTTTTGCCCTGTACTTGCTTAGATTCAACACCTAAGAATAATAATGTTCTCCTCTGCACTTCAATAGGCTCTGCCTCTAATATTAACAAATTTATATAGTTGATTAAATCCTCAACCCACTATTTGTGACCACAGTGAGGTTTATTCATGAAGAGGTTCAAGAACAGCATGGCTTCAAAATATGTGTGTCTTTAACTGACAGAGGTCATATAGACATTCTTTTAATTAGTCATTATTAATAAAATTAAGCATTGAGAGGTAACTTTGCTTTGTGGTTTTCTTTTGAAAGAGGCTAGATTCAAGTATTAGCTTTCAAATATCTGATTAATACCCGACCATCAAAGAGATATCCTTACATTTATATACTTTTTTTCAAGTGTTTCAACTCACTCTTTCACTTTGTGGTGACATGAATCTGTTCCTTTTCTGGACCATCACTCCACGGAGCCAGCAGGTGGTTGCCATATCTAAGTTTCCATCAACTAGGCTAACACTGTTAACCTGGCACTAGTGATTCTCTGAGACATTGCCCCACCCAACTCTAGGGCCCAACCCAAGCTTTGCAATACCAAGAACCTGATTCGTCTCATGCTGTGGACATTCCTAAAATCTTCCAAAGAAACAACATCTGGCCTTGGTTCACAATGGCCTCTCTTGGGTGCCTCCTACCCTAGCACCATCAGAAGTAGCAGCCATCTTAAGATTGTTTTGTAGATTATGCCAGGTAACCTTGGGCAGGGCACAATTAGCACATGACTTTGGTCTGCAGCACCCAGAAGGCCCCAGAGCCTGCGAATCCAGTGGACAACTTCAGACCACATCAAAGCACCACCCAAACTCCTCCACTAAAGACACAATAAAGCAGTGAACTCAGCAGACACAGAAGCCCCACTTAAGTAAGTCCTGCTCTGTGATGTCGACCCCTGTGCAGCTGATACTACATAATGGTTGACATTGGACCTGACAGCCCATCAGCCTGGTGGTAAATCCCTTCAACTGAGTTGCCAACAGCAATCAAAGTTCAACTACAAAAGGAGAATGGACACAGTCCACATGGGTAGTACACCTGGAGTACCTAGTTTTGGTAATTGGAGAGGCTATGTCAGAGGACCCTACAGGGCACCTACTAAATTAGGCCACTCTACCAAGCCCAAGGGACATAGCAGCTCTACCTAATACATAGAAACACACACAAAAAGATAGCCTACATGAGGAAACAAAGAAATATGGCCCAAATGGAAGAACAGAACAAAACTCTAGAAAAAAAAACTAAACAAAATGGACAAAAACAATCTACTAGAAGCAAGAATCCAGAACACTGGCTATAAGGCTGCTCAGGGAACTTAGGGGAAGAATAGATGAACTTAGTAAGAACTTCAAAAAGAGATAGGAAACATAAAAATAAAGAGAGAAAACATAAAATTAAGAACCAGTTTAAATGAAGAATACACTAACTGAAATGAATATATATAAGGAAACAAAAGTGGAGAAAATGAAACAAAGATCAAATCAGAGATGTGGGAGAAAAGAAAGCAGAAAACATTCAATCAGAACAGCAAAAAGAAAAAAAATCCAAAAACATGAGAACAGTATAAGGACCTTTGGGACAACTTAAAACATGCCAAAATTTGCCTCATAGTGTTGCCAGAAAGAAAGAGAGAGCAAGAAACTGAAAATCATTTTAAAAAATAATAACAGAAACCCCCCCCAAGCTGGTAATGGAAATGGACATATAAGTCCAAGAAGCACAGAAAGTCTCAAACAAAATGAAACCTAAGAGATACACATTAAGACACATTATAATTAAAATGCCAAAAGTTAACAAAAAAGAGAATCTCAAAAGCAGCACAAGCAAAGCAGTTAGTTACCTACAAGAAAGCTCCCATAACACTGTCAGCTGATTTCTCAACAGAAACTTTACAGGCCAGAAGGGAATGGCAAGATTGCCCGACAAAGCTATCATTCAGAACCAAAGGATGGATATAGAGCTTAGCTAGAAAAAGCTAAAGGAGTTTATTGCCACCAAACCAGCATTATAAGAAATGTTAAAAGATCTTTAAGAAGAGAAAAAAAGGTAAAAAATATAACTAAGACAGCAATAAATACATATCTATCAACAATTAATTTAAATGCAAATAGAGTAAATGCTCCAACAAAGAAATATGGAGGCTGAATGCATAACAACAAAAAAAAACCCAAACCCTTATACATGCTGTCTACAAGAGACTCACTTCAGTTAAAAGACACACTCACACTGAACATAAAGAGAGGGAAAAAGATATTTCTGAAAATGGAAGCAAATAAACAAACAAAGGCTGTAGTAACAGTATTTATAACAGACAAAATAGACTTCAAAACGAAGGCTATATAACATGAGACAAAGAAGAATCTAGAAATTTCACTTCTGGGTATTCATCTGAAGAAACCTAAAACACAAAATCAAAAAGACATACACATCCATATGTTCACTGCAGCATTATTTACAATAGCTAAGATATAAAAGCATCCTAAATGTTTATCAATAGATAAATGGATAAAGAAGAAGTGATGCATATACACAATGGAATATGATTCAGCCACAGAAAACATGAAACTTGCCATCAGTGACAACATGGATGGACCTATATGGTATTGCACTGAGTGAGATAAGTCAGACAGACGATAAACGCCATATGATTTCACTTATATGTGGAATCTGATAAAATAAATGTACAAGCCCATCATAAATAGTCTTGACAGCTACAAGATAGGAGAGTTGGGCATACAGGTGAAAAAGGTGAAGGGATTAAGAAGTATAAATAGATAGTTACAGTATAGTCATGGGAAGTAATGTACAGCATAGGGACTATAGTCAATAATATTGTAACATCTATTTATGGTTTGAGATGAGTACTAGATTTATTGGGGTGAGCACCAGTAAGTTACATAATGT